ATTCATTGGATTATTAGGTGTTCCACGAATACTATCTCACGCAGAGATAATAAGAACTACCTCCCGAGATAGTCCAATGCTCGTTTAGTGAAACCCTATCTCCTCGACCCTCAGGGTTTACGTATCTCAAGCTTCGTTAGTGCAGGTTCATTTTGCACAAGCGCGAGATAGACACTCTATAGCAAACGAATAACCATAGTCACGCAACCCACTCGACGATCTAGAAAGTCTCTATCAGCTAGTTGAAAGAAAACACGAAACCGAAGACCACCTGAGCTTCCTAAGGACTAACCTTAAGGACTAGACATCCAGTACAAGTGAGAACGTTAGGAACTTCGTAACGGCGATCACACCAGTGTTGATCTTGCCATAGAAGTACACTATGTTCTTAGTACTGAAAAGCTCTACTCCTTTCCGAGAGCTTAGGACCATCCGAGAATCCTCATGGAAATATGGTCCAACCCCTTTCCAGGCCGCTACTACCCTCGGATATACCACAAGATTCACACCGGTCTATCCACTCTTAGACTTGATACGTGAATTCCCGACAACACTCTTCGTACCTCACTCATCTTGATAGAATCCATCGAGAACCCTAACCTTGTAGATACACCAGTTGGAACCCACTAGCTACACGAGACGGAATCCGCATCCCGTACGCGAGGGTCTGTTGAAATGACAAACACAGACCAGAGATCACTTGGGGATGCAAGGACAACCACATAGGAAGTACTCTCTTACCTCTACTTGGGTATTCATACCTACTTCCTTTCCTAGATCTGAATTTCGGGACGAAATTCCCTCTAACGGGGGGATGATGTGACAACCCAAGTTGTCCCGTTACATTTCTCCGTTACCGTTAACAGAATTATCCACTGTTCAAAAGTTCCGTTAATAAGAAGCCGTCAAATTTAATAAACATTTCAATTGTGTATGTTTATATGCCGTTAATTCGTGATAAAAGGAAATAAAAACACAGGACACATATTTCCATTTATTTGGAAAATGTCAAGTTTTATTATTACGACCACTAAATCGGGTGCGACCAAAAGCCCCGTTTAACAGCAGTATCGGGTAGAATTCCAATGTGTCCCGACTTAAAACCCTATATAAGGGTGAGTGGAGTCTATTGGAGACTTTTTACACTCTCTCTCTATACTCTCTCTCTAGACCCGTTTTCGCCCCGAATCCGCAACCAAACCCTTCCAAATTGTATGTCCGCTTACCCTAGCTTGTTCTAAACATTACTAGCTATAGTTATAGCCCAAAAACCATCCAAGAAGGCATGGGATAAGGAGTTTACGGCCCAGGAACACTCTAGGGCCGTAAACCCCTAAAATGGTGCCAAACATGCCTCTAAACTTGTCCTTAAGCTTGGAAACTAATTAGGGATCTAGCCTAGGAGTGTTTAAACATCAAAACACAAAGATTGAGGGCATAAAAGAGAGTTTATTGCCCAAGCACATGCTTAGGCCGTAAACACCTCTAAACCATGTCAAAATGCCCCAAAAACACTCCCAAACCACCCTTAGACTTCATACATAATTTAGGGACTTATCATTTGGGGTTTGGATCAATTAAACACATCAAAATGAAGGACAACAATGAGTTTACGACCCAAGCATATGCTTAGGCCGTAAACTCCCCAAACATGTCCAAAATGTTGGTTTTTATTCCCTAAGTGGCCTTAGACTATTTCTATAAAATGCTAGGAAGGATTTAAGGACTTAAACACAATGAAATGAGGCTTGATTTGGAGTTTACGGCCCAAGCATTTATCTAGGCCGTAAACTCCCCAAAACCCACTCAAATGATGGTTTTAATCCTCCAAAATAGCATCATACTTCATTAGAAATCACTAGAAAGGCATTAGGGACTTTAAACTTCACAAAATCCAAGGTATGAGAGTTTACGGCCGTAAACTCCCATGGGAGTGTTCATAGGCTGTAAACTCCAATATAATGCCCTTAGAAGCCTCAAATCCACTCATGCCTTTTATGAAAAGTCCTTAGAAAAATCCCATGAACAAGCTAGAAGCCTTAGTGGTACGATTTCTCCTTCATTATACTGGATAACAACTTTACTCCACTTATACTTGATAGACGTTCTTACATCACTTATTGTCGTCTCTGCTTCGTGATACACTTATACGTCGTACGCTTATACTTCATGGTTCGATTATCCCACACTGTACACGTATACTTCACGACTCGGATGTTCCACTGTACTCTTATACTTGACGACTCAGATGATCCCATGTACACTTATACTTCACCCTATGATACACACTCAAGCGTAGTTAGATGTATGTTTATGCTTGTATAGATGCATATAAATAATGATTGAAGGACTTAGGAAGGCTTGTCCGCCCTATTTCCTTTTCTTCATTGAGATGTGGTCTGGTGGGATCGGATGTCCATCTGAAGGTCGTTCGATTCATTAGTTATATATTACGTATACGAGCATAGACATACGAGTTTTCTTCAATCAATTCAGTTAAGAGTCTATACCTCTAGTCTACACTTACATAAGAAACCCACTCCCTCCTAGTAACACACTATCCTCTATTTGGGATGCATCTTCGGGAAGCGGCCTTCTCCGTCGTCTAGTTGGTAACCAGAGTCTCCTGTAGGGAGAGCGGACATTGTGTGTATAGGCCTATACGGGATTGACAACCCCGCACCCTGACTGCTAGCTACAATCCACGGCCTACCAAGGCAAGGGGTGACAAATGTCACATTATATAGATTCTTGTAGGGCATCTAGTACTCTAGTCAGTATGGTTACGAGTATCCTGGGTTCCCTTATAATTCATGCTTTAATGTAACAGTATTTCATCAGCGATTTACACTGTATGCTGATGTCACCTTTTTCAGAGTCACACTGTTTTGACCTTGCTAGATGTATCTTTCATTTGATACCGTCTGGGGTCTGTTATCTCTGTTTGACCTTACAAGATGTATCTTTCGTTTGATACCATCTGGGGTCTGTTATCTCTGTTTGACCTTTCAAGATGTACCTTTCATTTGGTATCGTCTGTGGTCTGTCTTCACTGTTTTGACCTTGCGAGATGTACCTTTCATTTGGTATCGTCTGCGGTCTGTCTTCATTGTTATGACCTTGCAAGATGTACCTTCCATTTGGTATCGTCTTCGGTCTGCGTTCACTGTTTTAGACCTTACCAGTTGTACCTTTCATTTGGTACCTTCGGGGGTCTGTTTCTCCATTTGTTAGACTGAACCAGGTGTGTCGTTAGTTCGATACTTTCTTGGAGTCTATGACTCTTTTGGCTTAGTCAGCAGTCCTCACTGCTGAGGCATATGTTATTCCCTGATGCCTCTGCTTTCTTTAATAATCAAATTCAGCATTTTGATATTATTAGCAATTAAGGGAAACTTCTTCTTACCACATTACACTGACCAGTGTTGGTAGAAGGCTGCTTTTATTAAAGAAAATATAGGATTTTCTGGAAAGAACACTAATACACTGAAATCACTTAAACTACTGCTTTATAAAGTTATTTGACTAAATGACACTAAATACTTATGAACTCACCAGCATTGTAAAAATGCTGATACTCGCTTTTCAAATAACTTGTATTCTCAGGTTAGCATTAGACAGGTACATCCCCGGAGCTGTTGATGAAGATAGCTTAGTACCACGCTGTATTTATTCTATTACTTGTATTACTTTAAATTGTTGTAATGTAACCTTGTAAAACTATTACTATTAATGCAATGTTTTGTTGTACTTTGATTACTATAATGCATGTGTTGTGATACTTGACATGACGTTATCCACCCCAGAACGTTTCCGCCGTTCCGGTTTTGGGGTGTGACATGAAGTGGCTTGATAATAGAAGAACATGACTTCGGCTTGAAGGAAGACTTGGTTTTCTTTCCCTTTTCACAGGCTGAGCATAGCTTATCTTTGACATATTCTATCTTAGGAGTTCCTCTTAGAAGCTAATTCCCCGAAATGTTTGATATGTTCTTAAAATTGAAATGAGATAACCTATTGTGCCACAACCAATTTAGAAATGATTGTGTATTTGAAACGAAATCGAGTTTTAATAGTAATATCAGAGTAATGAATGATTGATTAAAACGAGATTTAATAATATTTGTTTGGCTCAATTATACTTCCAAAATGTACAAAGAGTTTAGATAATACATATAGAATTTTTATCTATCTCTAGTATACATTCCCTATTTATAGGGATCATGAAAATATACAAAAAATATAAGATACTAAACACTCAAAGCTTCGATACATAGAAGTGCCTTTATAATAAAATTACAAAATGTCGAAACTATCAATGACCTTAAACACCTTATAGCTATATTTGACACCTACATTCTCCCCGTTTATGAGCAGTAACAAATCAGGTCATTAAACTCTAAGCAGCTTGCTATAAAATTTTTCAAACTTTAGCGTACCAGTCGACAACCTTTTGGATTTCAGCCTTTTGTTTGTCATTATTCTTGGCACTACTATTCTTTCGATCGACCTGATTTGTATAAGGAGTAGAAGTGTATCTATCAACATCACACACTTGGAATAAAAATTTTGTGTTCTTTCCCTTCTTATTCTTGCCAACAAACACAATTCCATGTGGTTTCACACAAATCTCACCAGCTTCATAATCTTTCAAACTAACATGGTTCATTGTGAATGATTTAGGAACTGAAATCTGATTTCAAAACATTGTAGCTAACTAAACATCAGTTAGAGTTAAAGCGCCATAATGGCCATCAATGAAAATCTTTATATGTGTGAACCCCACTAAAAAATCTTCTTTATTGGTAACATGCAGTTTCGACACATCAATAGACTTCAAGATCTTCCCTAGAACCAATAAATCATGAAGGTTCATCAAGGGAAAGTCTGCAACCGAGAAATTCAAAGTAACATTGTTGGCTCGGACTGCATGATATCGAAAATTATGCAACATACCATATTTCCTCTTCCCTTTTTCCAAGTACAGCATGGAATCTATACTACATCAGTTTGAACAAAAATTTATCCTTGAACTTATTAGCAATCTTAAATTGCTCATCCATAAACATCATATGATTGATAGAAAAATCCAACTGATTAAATTTGGTGTTCTTTGTATTATAACTCCTCTTCGGAACTTTCTCAAAATCAATCATCTCCCCTATAACAACTAAAGCTTCGATATACTCATAAATATGATGTTTTGAAGGATCTCGTTTGTTTAGACCAGGAGGATCATTAGCTCTCTGATAAAGAATATTTTGAATTTGACGTTGCTTCTCGATTTCTTGTTCAATGGCTATTTTCTTTTCTTTTTTGGTAGGCTCTGTAGGAATACCCTTTCCCTTGTTGAGCATTTCTTCACTAATAGGAAGTGGTTTTGAAGAACTTGAACCTCCTCAGCCGACCCAATTACAACTCCTTTAGAAATTGGCTTCGATGTAGTTCATGTAGATGATAAAGTTGTAGACACCTTTGGAAAAGAAGTTAGAATTTGAGTAGACAAGACCTTCCCAAAAACCTTCGCATCATCATCTTTTTTATTCGATGTGCTTCCACTAACTCTCCAAACAATGCCAACAACTCCCTTTTCTCCCCTTGCACCCCTATGGAAACAAGTGGGGCATCAGTTGGCATCATTTGTATGAGTTTGGCGACTGGTGCAAGCTCATGTTGAATTATGGACTCCAACAACTTAAACTTTTTAGAAATAAGTTCTGCAGTTATTATCGAAGAGGAAAAAAAGCTGGATTTCAGCACCAATCCTTTCAATTCAACCAGTAGATTATCGATGTTGCCAAAATTCGTGTCAGTTTCATCAACCTTTATGGCAACCTTTGGAAGTAGAGACTCATACATAGGCACATACTTAGTTATGGTATCCGCAATAATATCCACCGTCTTGTCAAAAAAGGAGTAATTGTGTTCAAATGTTGCAACTTCCTTTTGTTGGATTAATGTCTAAGTCCATAACTATAATTGGTAAGAATTGACCCGACCCAGCATGGTCCATTTGGGTTGCATGGCATCATGCACTTGGATAGACTATAATGAGAGAAATAAGACACTTATGGTTATTAATATATTATAAGTTCTAGTATATTAATAATAAGAATAATAAGATTATTTAATTAGTATTGATCAAGAATTAATCTAGGATTAACTAAGTGATCAAAAGAAGACTAATTAAATATATGGGTTGATTGTAAATCATCCATACTTGTATAGTGGGCTAATGCTCCATGGATTATCTAGTTGGGCCAAAACCCATATGATGCTCCATGGATGCTCCATGGTGTATTTGAACCCATGGATCCAAGGAAATGGGAAGTCATGACAATTAGGGTTTACCCTAATTGTAACACTATATAAAGATCTTATTCTTGACAAAATCGGCCACTAGATTATTCTAGAGAGGGCTAGCCGATTTTCATGAAGTGTAGAATTCTCTCAAGTTATTCCAAGTGTATTTGGTGTTGTGTGAACCATTTGAGGTGTCACACTTGGGGCACTAGGCACTCAAGCTTCATGAAGACATTCTACATCAAAGAGGTATGTATTCTATCTTGTTATATTGATAGTTTTGTATGCTAGATTAGGATAATACCTTGGATGTTCATATTTGCATGTATAATAGAGAAAACATAGATCCAAGGTATTTAGGGTTGCATGTACACTTAGGAGTGTTAGAATGCTCATAACCCAACAGTGGTATCAGAGCCTAGGCTTGTTTTCTTGTTATACTGCAATAGAAGCTGAAAAATCGAGTTTTGATGCTGTCAGCCCAGCTGACTCGCCGAGTCCATGAAGGGACTCGACGAGTCCAAGGCAAAATGCATCCAACTCGCCGAGTTGGTTCATGCACTCGACGAGTTGGACCCCAGACAGCATATCTTCGAGGTTTTTGGCTAGAAATGGACTAGGAACATTACCCTAAGTTGTTTTGAACTTATAAACTTGTTTTTTAATGTGGTAATGTTCATGCTAATCCATTTTCAAAGATAATTGTCAATAGATTCATGTTTTGTATTAGTTTAAAGGTTAGACTAATTACATGAAAAAGTTTGATTTGAATTATCTTGTTCTTATGAGTTGCTTAGATTAATAGAAAAGTTGAGTGAAAAGTTGTTTTCAATCCAAATTAATCTAAGAGTTGATTCTAAAATGTGTTTTTGTAACTTGTCCTCAAGTTATATGAAAAGTCACATTTAAGTTTCATAAAACTCATAAAAGTTGGCAAAGGTTACAAAAAGATGAAGAGTCTTGTCCTTAAGTTATGGAGGTTCAAGAGTCACTTCATTAATAAATAAATAAATAAAATATGTAACCTTAATTAATTCCATAAGTTATAAAATAAAGAAAAGTTAATTTTTATTAGTTTAAAGTCTTCCATAATTTGTCCACAAGTTATGGAACTTGAAGAGTTTTTGGATTAAAACTACTTTAAATACATAAGTTATGGAATTAATTAGTTTTGAATAGTTTCAAAACTTGCCCTCAAGTTTTGGAATTTGTAAAGTTTTCTCTTATGAATACTTTAATTCCAAGTTAGCCCTTAGAATTTTAAAAGTTAAAATTCAACCCTTATACTTTATAATATTATAAGTTAATAATATATATATGTATAAGAGTAAAGTCGGTCTTACCGCTAGTACGCCTCATTCACGAAGCCGGTCTATAAGGTGGGTATAAGGTTGTTGCCTATAAAATGGCAACTTAATGGGTGTCACTCTCACCCACCGCTTGCTTGACTGGTGGAGGGTCGTTAGCCGAACGGGTTTGACAGGACTATAATTCTCCCTTCATTAAAAGTATTAATGATAAATACTAAGTAACTAAACTCTTAATAATACCCAATCTTAGTTACTTAGGAAAATGTGAATAAGGTGCTAATCCATGAAATTACACTTTGCACTTTGTTTAAGTCGGTTAGTGGAGCGTGTGTGGTTAACCGGCACACTAACTCGTATTTAACAAGGTAGGCAAAGGGTAACTTAATGTTTATCATAGTATCGATGGAGCGTGTGTGGTTAACCGGCACATCGATTGAGGGTAAACACTTAAGGGTACCAAGTAATTTGCATGGTTACTTCACACCTTGTTTTGTGATCCTCGGCATCCCAGTCACAAAACCTGAAGGGCACACTCGAGATTGAAACATGCCATTGAACAGTTCAATGAATCTCAAAAGATCTAGGAGTTTCAAAACCAATTAAAACCTAATAATACATTTCGTTTATCTTGGTGGAAATTGGTGAATCGTCATTCACCTACCTTCAAATTGTTTTATAGCTTGGATTACGGCATACCTCTTCTAAGTTATAAAATAGTTTGTTGGGTCCTAGCCTTAATATTTCATATTGGGTGTCATATTAAGGACTTTAAGATCAACTATCTTGAATATCTCCCAAAACATGTCTGGTTTAGACATTTATGATCTTCCCAAATCTCTTGAAACAAGCTTTCCTAAATGAAGATGATGTCCCATGGATATCATACTTTTTCTCCTCCTCCAATTATTCTCCCTAACCCACAAGTTCTTGAAAAGTTTAAGGTCACTCAAGCCCTATTGGCAAGGCAAGGTCTAGGTGTGATCACATCTTGGAGATGTAGTCACATATTGACAAGCCGGGAGAGTTGGGTGTCAAAGTCTTGAGAAAGTTGGTGGTTCAACTACTTTCTAAGTCACATAGTGAGTTCTTTTGGAACACCTATGAAACAGACTATGACAAGACCCTTAATGATCTTATCTATTTGCTAAGATCAACTTCCTGAAACTTTATGGACATTGACAATAGTGACACAGGAAATCCAGAAAAGCATTCTCTTCCCAATGGAAAGGGATCGGCCATAGTCAACTCGGTTGAACAAATGGTAAAGAGAAAAGCTAAGTCTGTGATAGTCCCGTGTACCATTATCAAAGGGTCCATATGTTTAATTTGCCAAAGAAAGGGTCATTAGTTGCGAAGCTGCCAAATTTACCTAAGGATGTTAAAGTCAATAAGATTGACTCTACTTCAGGTAAAGTCCACTATCTAACTCTGTTAAGTTTCTATTCTGAGATTCCTGATACATGATGTGACTGGGTCACATGGTAATTTAAGAATCAAAGAAAAGTAAAGGAACTTAAAGAAAGAATATGCTGAATCTGATCGCATAGATGGATTTCTATCGCGTAGTTTGAAAAATCGGATTCTTGAGCTACTTCTTAGGAGTTATGAGATATTGCTTAGGAATAGATAACAACAAGTTTTCATATGGATTGTAAGGATAAGTTTTTCCGCATAGTTTTAAAATAAAAGAAAAATTTTGTTTTATTTATTTTAAAATATCCTTACAATGGCATTTGAGGAAAAATTGTTGCTTATATGATTCCATTAATAGCAAGAGTGGAAATATGAAATTGATTCTTCATTTGTGGTAATGTCTAAATTTACCAAATAAGGAAAGATTCTCATCATCCAAGTCCAATTGGACCGGACTTGGAATCATGCAAGTTGTATAGCATGATGAATGAGAACTTTCAAGTATTGGAAAAATTAAGACTAATTACTTGTTCACATGGATGTGTGAGTCAAGTAATGGACTAAGGGATCGAGTACATAGTCATGTGCACTGATTAAGTCCACCACAAAAGATATAAGGCTATTCGTCATAGTTTACTAAAGCTCAGTAAATATGATTATACTTACAAGCTTAAGTGTAACTCTGAGACATTGGAAAAGGTTCCAATGTAAGGCAGAGCGAATAAGAAGAATCAATTAGGCAAAGGATAAAAGTTTCTCAAATCTGAAAAGATGGGAGAGTACTTTAGTATCAGTTTTGTGATCATCTTAATGATTAAGAAACCATATCAAAATTAGTTCTCTAAGGAAGTCTTAGTGCATTCTTATGACTAAGAAGAAGGGATCTTGAATTGTTGAAATGGTTAAATCAAGAAGATGAGTCATACTTCGTTCCAATACAAGTCTTAGAGTCATACTCCAAGATTGTAATTTGAGTGACATGTCTTAAAGAAGGTTTAAAACACTTATCAAATGTAAGAGTAAAAGTTTTCTACTCTTGTACATTTGAAATTGGTAAGTTGTGATGTTTTGGATAAAACAAAGACCAACTTAGGCCAATTGTGTGAAGTGTTTGTCTTGATTAGAATCCACACTATCTCTTGGATGTTTGACAAGGAGTCTTATAGGTCAAGAGGACAGTGGGAGTCTTAAAGGTCTTGAAAGTCTCAAGAACTAATCAAGAATAAAACCTAAAGTTCTTCACTAGCACACGACTTAAGGTTTATAACCTATCGTGTTGACATATTCTGTGCCCATTCCAGTTAAAGTTGGCTTTGCATATGAGTTCTTAGAGTTCTCAATGTGTTGCACAACAACTTGGAAGCAATGGCAGGCCCTTGAGCTGCCAGGTGGCAAGAAATTAAGATTGAGTTCAGTCCATATGAGTTTGGATTTGTCATTATCCTTGTCTTGTGACTATGGTTTTGACAATTCACATGGATAAGAACACATACACCATTAAATCTAAGTGTCATAAGGTTTCTCTCCGATTCATGAAAATGATGGTGAGGAAACACTTTCACTAAGTAGATTTTAGTTAGATAGCAATTGTGATATTTGCATTCTCAAAGTCGTTAGTGGAGCGTGTGTGGTTTACCGGCACACTAACCTGGACTTGTGAGAAGTGGCAAAAAGGTCTAACCATTATGATTACGGCATCCCTCTTCATAATTGTTTAGACACACAGTGAGCTATCTAAGGGAGGTGTATGATTTGATAAAGTCTTATCAAACAATCTAGTATCAGAAATCTGAACTTTGGTAAAAAGTCAATAAAGTATTGATTTCTAGAAGT